TTCTAAGCAGTAATTACTGCTTAAACCCTGACTTTTCAGTTGTTCCAATTAACTCTACAGCTTGAAATTTCTGCTTTGGTTTCTGTTCAGAAAATGATTAACTGGCTTCATTGGACTGCTTAAAGGACTAGCAGAGGTCCATGTAATCCAGACCTCTCTCCCTCAGGACCAAATGCAGACAGTGAAGAGTCAGATGCCAAAGGCACTGGCATCAGTATTATCCATGGGCAGCTTTCAACACTGAGAATGCACAAAAACAAATATCCTCTAATGAGTAAAGCTTAAGGGTAGGATTACACAGAAGAGTTGAAAGGCAGCAGGGGATCTGGATGAACTAATTGAGATGGTTCATTTCAGTCCCAAACAAGCCCTACTGGAGAAAGCTGACAAAACTCTATAATGTTATATAAAATAGAACATATACTGAGATCTTCAACTCTTTCATATGTGACTGCAAAGTCTCATTTTCCCTTAATTTCCTGCCCCAATACCTACCTGTTTGCACACAATATTACTGTTTAATAAGAGGCTTTCTTAAAATACATTTAAATTTAAATTTGCTGCATTTAAATACAAAACTCTGCTGTGCCTAAATGGCAGCAGAGCTGTAAGCACAGGTCTTGCCTATCTGAATTTACAGTACAACATGACTGGAAATGCCAATTGCTACCAATGCAGTCATGAAATTTTCTCTCAGCTCCACAGCCTCCATCATTGTGCCTTTCAGCTCTCACTACACATCTGTTGGAGCAGATCTTGCAGTAAGATAGAATAATAGAAGATGATAAATCCTTTTAAGGCAGCATATCTTCATGGGTTTAGTGTATATGAACTGCTATTTGAACCATGTTCACCCTGGAGCAGCACACAGTCATCATCATATCAAGTCTGAAACCATTACAGAAAAGCACCATTCCAAATCCCCATACTTCAAACTCCTCCAAATAAGAGTATATAAAACTATCAGATTTGCCTTGGCTATTATTTCATGCTGTGCACGCTTCATGCTTTTTTCAGTCTGTCCTTCTAATTAAAGAAATGACGTTATCATGACTGTGAAGAAGTTTTCCCACTTCAGCCAGATATAGCAGATGACTGGGCAGTGCTTGAATTGCACAAAGCTGACTTCCCCAGGATCCAGATATGCTTCAAGGACAGCAAAATCCTCCTGTTGGAGGCCTGCCTGCACTCTTGTACAAACCCTCGTTGTGTTTGAGCTGTGACTATTATGCCAGCTCTCCTCACACCAAGCCCTCCTCCATTTCACACATCACAGCAATGCCATCAGGAACAGCTTCAAGTGGGTCTGCTATAGACCAAGAACATTCCTAACAAAAAAGAATTTTGCCAGCCAACTCTGTGAGCACCTCAGGGGGCTGGTGAATAGATGAGCTGAGCTGGGACTGACAATGAGGTGCCCACTTCTGCTGGCTGCTCTTACCTCAGCGCTGCAATCAGCGACAGGAACGTTAGTGAGGCTTCAACTCTTGGCAAACTCCTTCCTGCCTGCAAACAGGCCTGAACTTGCAACATAAGCAATTCTCACTTGTGCCTTCCTGTAAAGAGTCATCTAAAAGTGTCCAGATGTTCCAATCACTGTTTTCAATTTACTCCTGTTCATAAACCGAACGTGTCTCGGGGATGACTCGTACATCCCCTCTCTACTCTTACACATGACCTACTCCATACAGATTTCTATTGCGTGAGGAATGCTTTGCCAAGAAGGTTACTCTGAACATCAAAAATTTAAAAAAACTGTATTCCATGCCAACTTTGAACAAGTTCTACTATAAAAACCCCATTTCCTAATTATTTTTTTATACACAAAGTGCTGAGAACACTACAAAAGCAGGTTTCCCAGGACAGCATGCTGATATTTTTTGTTTCAGCAAGTCATCATCTTTTCTTCACCGAGAGGTTAGGCTAATTCTGTCTTCTGTCATCTCCCAAAGCTTTGGTGAAAAGAAAGCTTCCCAGGTGAACCACCTGCCTTTTCCAACCCAAATGATGATTAAGCACAATCTATTTTGTCTCCAAAAATAAAATCAAATCAGTATTTGTAGGTGTTAATTAAGAATGTCGAGTTCCACATGAGGCATTACAGAACACGTGAACACGAGTGATAGAGACTGGAAGTAGATAAGAAACAAAAATAAGAGATGAATTTGACTTTTCCTGAACTTGACAGCACCCTGACTTGCTTGAGAATGAATCTGTTCTCTAATTAAGGCTTGGGGAGGCTCCAGGAAGATGGATTTTCCCAGAATCTTTGCTGACTAACAGAGACTAACCTCATCCCTCAGCTTTGACGAGACAGAAATTCTTGATGAGCTTTCCTGGCGCACTCTGCCTTGTGCCAGACACATCTGACTATGCAAGTGATGCTGCCTGCAGACTGATGGACTCTTTTGGTAGGCACTGAGGTAGCAGGGGAAGATTAAAAGCTTTAGGATGTGCCACTGGCATTTAGAAACCAACTCCCAGTCCAGAAAAACAAAGGGGATGGAACTGCATCCAACCCAGCTGGGGAGCAGAGAGAAAACAAATTCATTGTGTAAGAAATAATAATTTTCAGAAGCAGATCCTGTGTGCTAGGATCAAAGGAGCTGGTAAATTAAGGCCACTCTGTGGCAGTGGAATAAATTGTCATAATACAATGATATTTATCCAGTTTTCCTGTGGCAGAAGATCTCACTACATCCCAAAAAGTGAGCCCAAATAATTGAGAATTAAGATTAATCATTCTTTTTCAGAGCTACTGTTATGCTTCTGCAGGATTTTGGCACGTATATCAATAACCCTATTTCATCTGCATGGCCACAGATCTCTTACCAAGAGAAAGACCAGTCATGTTTTTGGGTGCTGGGAAAGTTACAGCTTTAAGTAACACCCACACCCCTCTCTGATGACAAGCCTGAGCTTTCCACTCCTGAGATAAAGGCAGGCTTATTTATGTGGGAAGTCCCATTGATTTTTACCTCTACAATAAAACCCTCAGCTTCAGGCTGAGAAGCCAGAGACATAATGGTTATCTTTCTTTCAGGAGTAGGTGGGACATGCCTCCTTGAAGTGAAGTCACAAGTGAGCCATCTTTCTCAAGTTTCACAAATAATTCCTACCTCAAAGCTGCTCAGCCCTACAGGGATGAATCCATACCCCCGGATGAACTGCTGAGATTCCCAAGGGTTTCATGCAGTCAAACAAAACACTACCAGGGCTGCAGTTGCTACAAATCCTCTCTGCTTTTTGGCTTTTCACCTTGAACTGAGACTGTCTTCCTCTTTCAAACTGTAACGGTTCAACACCAGGTACAGCCTCGTGTGGCTCTAATGATCACAAATGCCAACTCATGAGCTTTAATATGACTCAACTTCATTGGCATTGTTCCCGAGCATTCTTCACTTGAAGGATGAATTCTATTGACTTGCTCTCAATCAGTTGCTTAATATAAATTCAAGAGGAATAAAAGATATTGAATTAAAAGGTTATTCCAACAGCCTTTGAACTGAAGAGGAGGGGGGAAATGAAGTCCCATTTTATTTCACGTGCTTGAATCAGATTTTCTATCAAGGCAAACTTGCATGTTGTGGTTTTATTTTATCAACTCCACACACATTCTGGACACCCTTGTTCAGCATTTTCTACCTGTAAATCCAGAAATATTGCACAAATGTTCAAGTACCAGTAGAGCCTGGTCTCAGAGACCAGAGCAATAAAGCTGTGCTAAGTCCAAGCAACATCATAAACCAGCAGCTAAGTTTGCTCAGTCTCATCATCCTATCACACTCATTTATGAGATCTGGTAGTAAAACACCAGGGAGAAAAATCAAATCCCTCCTGCTCCTGACAAGGATGATCTTTTGGCTGTGCCCTGTACAAGATTTAAAGCAACTTACATTTTGGGAAGTAAGCACAACATATCTGGTGTTACCTTGGGAAATTCCAGCTAAACCATAAGGCTCCTAAGTGCCACATACTCAAAGCACTTGGGGAATGGGGTGCTATCTTTTCTTCAAACAGATTTCAGAAGCAGCTTGTATTTGATGAGCAGATGTCTATTTTCTCTCACTTTCAGCCCTGCAATTTTGATTCCTGTTACACAGCTGCCACCTTTAATTCATTTCTTGTACCTGACAGAGCAGTTCTGAGGTCAGTGATACATTGACTATAGTTCTGCCAACTCTTCCAGCAGCAAACCAGGAACTGGCCATGCCTTTTTCCTGTCATTGGAAGCTAAAAGGGGAATTTGAAATGGGCTGCAGTTGGTTTTGATTGTCTAGAGTCAAGCTGAGAAGAGACAAAACACCTTTCTCACCAACTCACTACATGCAGAGTGTGTGAAACCATGCAGACACAGACAAAAATAATTATAAACTGATCCTTGATAAGTTTAGGCTGGAAATTAGGAAATTTGAAACTATTCAAGACATGAAATTTTGTATTAAACTTTGACAAAGTTTCATCAGATTTCAGAGAACAAAGCAGTCAGCCAGTTCAGATACAGGTACAAATATAATGATCTTCTAATGAAAGTCTTCTGAGGGTCTTCCACAGAGTTCAGCATTTTTCTTAATCCCTCAGCTACTAAAGGGAACAGGGGTAAGAATATTTTATAAAGTTAATCATTACATGAGCTGATATAGCTAACAGTAATTTTTTTATTAATGAAAAAATCTGTTAAAAAACTTTTGTAAAAACAGTTTGTACAAAAATTATTAATGAAGAAATTGTATTTATCTACAAACACGGCTATTTCTCAATTAACATTCCATTTAAAAAGCTCCCATTCTCCAGCACGGTAACGACACCTTGCCTCTATCCGTGTTGCCCGAGTGCCGCCTTGTGGGCACCCCCTGCAAGTGCACCCGGATCGGCAGAAAGGAAAAACACCCAACTCTGTTCATTTCTTATGAATAAATAAGAAACGAGAATAAATTTGCTCTGTGAATTTTGACGGGGAAGGTGGGAGTCCCTCTGAGATTTTGTATAAATTTTCTCACCTGTGATGTTCAGCTTTGCCAATGCCATGAAAGCTCACGCTCACCTCGATGTTTGATCTCTCCTTAGGACCTGCAGGCTGGATGATGGACTTGGTCAGAAGGAGCTGCTGCACAGACAGACACCGAGTCTTGACTAGGTCTCTTCACTAAAGCACTAGATTTCATTGAATTTCCTTTGAAATAAAGGAATTAAAGGAGGGAAACCCTGGGTTGTCTTTGCTCTCCCATTTTTCCATCAACACACCTGCTCAACTGTACCATGACATGTCCTAGCAAAGGAACAAGGTGGTTGGCAGCTGATTGTCTGCTAGAACCTGACTGCTTTTCACAAAATAAGTGATAGCAGCCACTCACATTTGCTTATTAGCCTTCCCTTCTTTAGCTTTTGTATTATTTCAGATTATCAAAGATTATTACAAATGCAAAATATCCTCAGTTCTGCTTTCTAGAGCTGAACTCAAATCTACAAGAAAGTAAATAATCATGAAAAGCATGTAAAGAAGTGCAATCAAAGAAGACTCAGTAAAAACAGCAGATTTCTTTAATGGCAACATCCTCCTACAGGAGTGTTAGGTACTTATTCTGACAATAATTTGTAGCCTTTAATCATCTGTTTTGGTAGGGTTTGGCTCAATAACTGTCAAACACTGACATCTTCAGGTGGAAGAGCTATTGAAGTACACAAATAATAGGACAGACTGAATATAAACCATTCAAATATTAAATAATTCTTGAAACAACTCTTTTCCTTCCAAGATGAATTAATTTGGCTCTTTTCACTTAGAATTACACACAGCTCCAGAGACAGATCCAGAATGTTAGCATAGATATGAAAACCCCTGCAGCCTTTCCAATAGAACCTCATTTTATTGAAGTAATGCTTGAAAGGTGTCAAAAGATATGAGGGTTCCTCACAAAATATCCTACTAGGTGTCAATAAAATCTACAGCTCTTTATTGAGACATTTTCCCCAAGGATGTACTGATGATGGGAAAGCCAACAATTTCTAATCAACTTATAGTCTTGGCACAAGGGAGCCAAAGACAGCTTTCTTTTAGTTTTTTTTATTTGTTTCTAGCAGCCTTTTTGGATCACATTCACTCTCAATATTTGGATTAATTTGACTCAAGGCAAATAAACAGGCTAATTATGAATTCACAATAATGACCAAAAAAATAGTACTGAAATGTTGTGGGTCCTGTTGCTAACTTGACTATATCCAAAGAACAGTCAATCTACTTTTGGCCCCTCTCAGCACAAAGATACTCAACTGATATTTCAAGCAGGTGTTGTTAAAGAAAATAGATTTTTCCTAATAAGGGCTTTCGGTGAATTTTTCCTGGATTTGAAGGCCATAATTTTATAGGATAGTTAAGTGATGGTTCTCTGATGTCTCAGTAATTCAAGCAATGTCAACCTATTTGAAAAATTAACTTACCGTGTCAAAGCCTTTTATAAAGTCCTTATAATTTAAAGCAGTTTACTGTTTAATTTGTTTATCTCAAACTCCAAGTACTAGCACAAGCAATTTTTATTCAAGAGCTCATCAAGCAAATGCTCATTTCTCAGCAGAAACACACCCCAGCCCAAATACAGGAAACAGATATTGCAGCTGCCTGGTTAAACAGAACACTGTTAGTGAGGAACTCTGGTAAATATTCTCCCTATCTGGAATCAGTTCAGCTCAAAGTAAATTTTCATTCATCATGAATGAGAACAAGGGAAAAAAATCCAGAATAATAATTTTAAAAAAAGGCAATAAAAGCATACACATGTAACCAGTGCCACTGCTGTAAAATGAATGAGTTGAAATAGGTGTGTTAAAGACTGAGAACTTCAGTATAAACATTCCTGATCCTCTGTGCAAGGCAGCAGTTCCTACTCCTGGACATTCTGCACACATGAATGCCTCCTAAACCCCACAGCTGCAAGAACTGGCATGCTATTAAATGACACTTGCACTTAGATGAGAATGGCTAATATGAGTTGCAACTTGACCAAATTCAGGTATTTACTGACAACAGAGTGCATTTTAGTCATATATGAAGGTGAATTTCAAACACCAGTATAGGTCATCTAGCATCCAAAGTCTTGGAATAACCACTACATCAAGGAAAATTATCTAGGTGGTCAGACAATTCCATAAATAGAAAATAAATTGGAAGTTGGTGTGAAGGCGTGAGCTGTAAAACTCGGGTGTACACAAGAAGACTCAACTCTTACGTAAATGCAAAGCCTTCGAGCACCTATGGATTCGTGCCAGGGACGCTGCTCCGCGTGCTGAGGGAACACCGGGCAGTCAGGAATGAACAATTACCGCTTTTGCTCTCTAGAGGTCCTCCACGAGCTGTTAACGCCCCAACTTGGGTTCTGTAGGTTCCCTACTGCCGAGTGGCATCGGCACCTGCAGCTTGGAGTCTCTAAATACCTCAAACACCTCCTCTCCCCTGCGTTCACCCAAACAGCTGCTCACACGGCATTGGAATCTGTGCCCGGCACTAGGAGTATGGTGGCAGTGACTGGCACAGGTATGTCCCAAAGTAGCAGTTGCCACTAACACGGAGGGGTTAATTCAGCTTCAACAGTGAAAGGTGATTTCTATCTCTGCCACACATCTTCATTTTCAGCAATGACAGGGCAAAGCAGTCTCTGCTTCTATCAGCCTGAGAGCACAACTCAGAGCCAGGGTGCCTGAGAACCTGAACACAGATTGTGATGCCACCTTACATCTACTGAGGGAGGAAAAAACCACATTAAAATGGAAGTTCTTCTGAATTCATTTCATCAAGACTACTCAAGAGTACATGCAGCAAAGACAAGGGGTAATGTGTGAAGTAGGGAAATTTATTCTCCCAATTAAGACGGTAAAGCAGAATATGGGAAATGCCTCAAAGATATCATCAGAGAACTGCACTTGGCTATCAGCAAATGACACATGTCCTTTCTGCCACTAAAGCACAAGAGCTAGAACAGTACCATGGACAGGCTGCAGCACCCTTCCTTTCAACTTCCTAGGCTTTGCTGTAGACCTCTTCCCCTAACTGAGTAGAAATAAGTGGAACAGAATAATTATTATAAACGCAGCTCCATTAACTTAGGTCTGCTGATTTAAAAAGGTCATAGACTCAACAAGATGAGGAGAAAGAAATTAAATGTGGGAAAGCAAGGCTTTATGTGTATGGACATTCCTGAACAGTACTAATTTAAAGTAGCATTTTCCACCCCAGTTCTCTGGAGTTCTAATTGAAGTTCTAACCTCAAGGCGCTCTTCCTTCCTCACTGAAAGATTTGCCTCTCTCACAGCTGCATGGCAGGAGTGCCACGGGAGACCTCTGAGTGCCACATCTGAGCTGCCATCAGAGCTCCTGTTCAGCAGTACAACATTTTACCCAGGAGTCATGATATGGGATCTCTTCCCTGACATCCACTTGAGAAACAGCAATGAACTCTTCCTCAGTCAGCCTTTGTGCTGGGCCCTGCTTGGTGGGTGGTGGGACAGACCTGGCTGGGCCCATGTTTGCCAACAGCTCTGATAATTGCAGGCTTGGCACCAGGGTAACCCAGCCTGATGATGCTGCCAATTACCCTTATCCTCCATCTCACCCTCCCCACCTCCAGTGCATCACTGGCAATTAGCTGGGAGGTACCTGAAGGCAGGGACCAGGCCACTTGGGTACAGGAGCCCGCACACCAGAGTCCAGGGGTGACTTGTGGGCGTCACTGCCACATAAATGACAACCTTGGCTTCTGATTACTTTACAAAACACAGCCCCCGCTCAAGAGATGTTAATGAAATGTTGTTGACTGGATGTCAAAGCATGTTAGTACAAAGAACTTGATTTTATTTTTCTAAGCAGATAACTATCAGATTCTCACAGCTTTTTACTTTCAAGGGATACATAAATTATTTAACGGAGGACTGAAAGGGCTAAAATGTTATTCAAGTAATAGAAACTATTTCCCAACCTTGTTTCCTTCTCTATTCAGTTACTAAAATCTCGTCCACTGTTACACTAGAAGATTAGCGTCCTAAGAACAATTGCTACAAGTGAGTTCAGTGGAGTCTAAAATGCCAAATGCCTTAATGAGAACGTCCACGAGGACTCAATTCTGCATTGCATCCACACTACAATACCTCTCCCAGAGCCTTAGTCCAGTTTACCTGTGACAACAGTTCTTCCCTCCCTATTTGTGGAACCCCCTAAAGAATAGCACCACAGCACAAAAGCCATTCCAGAAACAAAAGGCAGGATTGTTTTCACATCATTCATTCAAGATTTCTTTCCCTTTTCTTTGCTGTCTGCTTAACTTGCAGATCGATCAGGAGAATTACCTGACCTGTGTTTTCCTGAAGCTGTTGTACTGACAAGTGCACCAATGTATATTCAAATGAAAGAGTAAATATACAAGGGTTTATAAAACAAACACACCAAATGTTGACTGGGGCCTGTAAAAGCACAATTATTCACATGATAGCATTGATAGGTTGAAAGATTAGAGCCTGTAAATGCTGCAGTGTGTGAAGGCCATGTTTTATGCTCAGTGTGCAACAAGTTTCTCTAACTGGCTGGCTCTGAGTTACAATATTCTGTAACAACAGATAATTGGGAGTTCCTTACTCAAAATGAATACTAAGAAACCTCTTTTAACTGTCCAGCATATTCAGTTGCTATCTAAAAGCAACTCTGACAAAGAATTCTGATCCATTTTTCACATGGGCTCTCATAAGAGCTTCACTTGCACTCAGAGCTAACCTCAAAGACACACCTCTCTTACCTAATCAGCCTACAAAGGAGCCAGAACCTCATTCTATATTCCTTTGAAGTTAATTATCCCTACTACTTCTAAGAACAAAACTTAAGTTTACTAGAAGTCTTTTGTTATCCTCAACTATTTTGACTTGCTCAATTATTTCTGAATTACAGAATACCTAAAACATTCCAAGAAACAGATGGTAAGACAGAACCAGCTCTCCTCACAAAGGACCATTTTTTTTTCCGTAGCACGGGGGCGTAGAGTATTTGTTACGTTGACATTTGTGACTTGGTAAATACCAGAATGTATACTTTGTACCACACAAGCCTACTCAGCAAGAACTCAAACGTACCTGACTGTTCACAGGGAGCTGTACAAGGAGCCATCCCATGTCAGAACTGAAAACTGAAATCAGGGCAGGGCAGCTGGATCCAGATCTTGATGAGTAACCCGAGTAATAAGATTGTACAAGAGCGCTGTAAAAAACAAGAGACATAGGGCAATTACAAGTGATTGCCCGTTAATTACAGGTGAGAACTTGGATTTTATATATGGATTTTAATGGCACTGAAACTGGATTTTATATGCTCTGAAACACTGGTTTACACATGTCAAGCATTTAAATGGTTCTGATAAACTGGCCAAGGAAAACTTCATTACTCAAAAGCCCGCACAGAAGTTATGGTAAAGAAAAGACTAGTATTTGCAGGAATATAAATATTCCTTTTTAGTCCAGAACATATCCCATGTCTAGAATGGTATAATTATACTCATTGTCCCAGATAAACTGGGAAATTTTACATTCAAGTATTAAAGAAACACAAAGATTACTATGTTTATTTCTTCACTGTGAAATCAGTAAGGAGAAAAAGTGATAAAGCTGCTAAATCAACACAATTTTTGTTATAACTGCAAAAGTCAAGTCTGAGGAATGCATGTGTGTTTGAGACAACTCTCACATGTAAAGCACAGTTGTACTTCAACCAAATCCACAGATGTCTGAGGTTTCTGCTCAAGCCTATTCTTCAGTACTGTGTAATGTGACATATACTCAATAGTGTCACCAGGGATTAATATGACAGACATAACTGGAAATACACGAAAAGGTATTCAAAATAAGCACTTAAGTATATGAAAAGGCAAACAGAAGATAAAAACAGCTTCCACGTGTTTTCATGATTTTTCATTACCAGTTTAGGATCTAATCTGCCCTCACCAGTGGTGGGTTCAGGAATGATTTTTCTCTGACACATAGCTGCAGGCCAGAACCATTCCTCCTACACAATAATGCTTTTGGGATGGTTTATTATCCATTTTGTAATACTTACTTGGATCATGTTGCTGCATTGGGTCCTTCTACCCTTCTCCCACATGTACATAAAGCAGCCTTTACTCATAGGTGGACACAGAGCTGTCCCCATTTCCCCAGGCTGCCGTATGACACATGGTCTTCTGCTCTGACATCTGCAAACACCCGAAATCTTCTGATACCTCACCCGTGACTTGTTAGTCTGCATCACCTGAGCACGCCCATGGTGCACGTACCCATTTCAGGCACTTCCAGCAGCTTTCTTCCAAAAGGAAAAAACAGCCAGGTTAAATGTGTGCTGGAAGGTCTCTTAGTCAATAACACACATAACATTAAACACATGGTAATTTGTTTTGGTCACTTACCAACATTTTTGAGGCATGTCATTCCTTTTCCATGACACCATTTAGATAAGGGAATTTGGGAGGGCTTGCAGATTCCAGATGCACACCCTGAGAGCATCCTGACTTGGTGTTGTAATCTGACCTCATAATTTATTCTGTGCTGGGCAAAACAAACAAATGAACAGCTCTCCAGACATGCAAGATAATGCAAGAAACAACACTTGCAGGCAGCTGTGTGATCTGGATGGGCTGGGAACAGGAACGTAGGGGTTTGCCACAGAGTGCCCCTGTGGACAAAGGCTGATACACCCTAACCTCTTTCAAGAGCCACCCATAACGCTGCAGGTTGCAGCCTGTACAAAAAGAAACTAAAAACTTGAGATCATCAATACTATTACATGAGGATTTTAATTCTTGTGTGGATGTTTATCATGGATTATAGCTGGACATGATTCAGCCACTCCCTACTTCAATCACTTTCCAGAAGTGTTTGCAGTAAAATTGACTTCTCAATCAGGAGAAACAGCATGTCAACTTACAAACTGGTGTTTTACTGCAACCCACTGTTTGCTCTTGTGTCAGCACGCTTGTACTTATTTTCTTAATGTGTGTTTTAATATGGGGCTCACTATGCAAGTTGCCTGTTTTCTTTTCGTGAAGCAGCAGAACCAGCTGATGATCTTACTGACTGATGAGCTAAGTGATACAAGATGCTAAAAATCAGAACAAATACTTGATTTTCATATTGCATTTGTTCCCATAGTAATTAGTTTAAAATCAGCTAAGAACCCAGACAGAATTGATGCTACTTAAGCCTTGGCCCTTGTTTGAAAATGCAGGAGGGCATTAGAATATGAATAATAGAACAGAAACCATAATTTAGTGCGACACTACTGGATCCTTGGTGTCATCACTCAGGGTCTCTAAACAGATAAACATCAAATATTTCTTCTTTCTGCCCCTATTCCATGTGGTTATTTTAAGGCACATAAAGCAACCTCAGCCAAGGGACATAAGTAATAAACTTGATAAGCAGGCTCATGAAAGACAGCAGAGGACAGACACCAGCAGCTCCACATCACCCAGCCAGGATGACAGCAAAGGTTATTCCCAGCAATGCAGCAAGTGTGCAGCTGCAGACACAAACTGCTCTACCTTGCCATAGTGAGGGGTGCAGAGGTAGGTGTCCTTTGCACTTGTTGCAGGACTGCATATGCACAGACTGCCAAGATCAGGATTCTCCCAGGGAAATGGACAGAAATATTAACATCTTCCCCTCTGCCTCTCCCCCCATCATTTACCCATTTCAGCTCTTTTGCTGTGCTTATCACTGCATTTCTTAATTCCCTAATCTTGGAGAAGCAAGTGGAATCTAATAAAAATCTTCATTAAATCAGTGGTCCAGAATATTCCATCCTGCTGACAGAAGAACAACTTATCACATTATGCAGACAACAAAACAACATAGAAGGACTAAGAAAATCAAAACAAATCCTCAGATGACCATGTGGCCTACACACATTTTTTTGAGTTCATTTGCTCTGCTCTGGACACTGGCAGAGAGTTGTTTTCCAGGACACCCACTCATTTATTTTTTGTATGGTGGAACTCAACAATTAGCTCAGCCTCCACCAGTATTTAACATTTGATTTAGTAATCAGAGAAACCTTTCCCAAGTGGTTACTACTGACTAGCATTGAGCTTCCCTTCTACAACTACAGTCAATACTTTCTTTCTTGCTCCTTTTTTATTTCCAAGTGAAAACAAATGCCTTCAGCATACTTGAAGCAATAGGCAGCTGTTTCTGGCAACTAAAGCTACTAAAGGGCATTTTGAACTGCACCAGAGAACACTGTCCAACACTTCTGACTTACAGATCAATAACTGTCAAGATATACCCAAGAGCATATATATGTTCATGGTCTCAAAGGAAACTATCAAATGTTGAAGAGAAAAATCTCTCCCTTCATAAAAGCAAAAGTGCCCTATTATGCAAATTGTCTCCAACACAGGCATTGTGCATTCTTTGGAGGGTAAGGCAGCAGGGGAGGTCCACGTACATTCCTCTACAAGCCCACTCCCACTGGGCTGGGAGGGAATGTGTGCTGCTAGGACATTCTTCAAACTTCTGAGAGTCAGCATCATCTGCAGCCTACTGCAATAAGCTGCAGAAGAACGACAAGCATCCCAGTAAAAGCCTCTGTGTGTGTGTGTATATGCACACCTGAGTCTGGAAACGCCAATGGTGGTCAGCCTGATGTTACTGGAGATCCTGGCTGGAACTCCCAACATAGTCAGGACCCACTTCATTTTTTCTAGGGGCAGAATCATACATGGCACAGAATCACAAAGAGCAAAGCCAATCATTACTGTACATGCACAGCGGGCTGGTCACAGTCTCAAATAGGTCATGGGAGCCTAAACTCAAAGACTGGAGTTTCCTGCAGAAATTTAAACCCACTTCACAGCAAGAATAATTTCAACACCTTTCCCCAAAGGTATTTCATCAGATAATTACGTTACTGAGAACACTAACCAACTTCCAGAACTAGAACCACACGTGACTGCTCAGATTCTGTGGCAACCCTGCAAGCTCTGTAGAGCCGAACGTGCCGTGGGACCTCGGAGCTGTTTATACCGCAAACCCAGCACGGACGATTCCTGTCATGTTACATTAAGTGCAAACGCTGCTTTGTGCTCAAGGAAATGCTTTCTGCAGAAACAGGACAGGAGCGCAATGCAAATGCCACCGAGTTGCGTCCTTTGCACAG